GTCAGGGAGCCCTTGCTTTGGTTATAGTTGGGGACACTGACTGCAGCCATGCAACCGTGCAGGTTGACAAGGTTCGCTTCAGGGCTGAGCTCCTCCTCAACAAGGAGCCTATCCTCATTTCTGGCACTTTGGCCCAGATTGGCAACAAATGGGTAGACAGGCATATCCCCCAAACAACTCAGGTGGATATTGCTGAGTCATGTGTTGCTCGCTTTGCTGTCTACCGCGATGCTTGCCCGGTGCCCTGGGACACTTTTATTCGCTCCCCGCTCAGGGAGATCGTCAACCTGATCCCACTTTTGCAGACATGCGATACCGCTGGCTGCGAGTGCCAGAAGTGGCACGGCAGTGCGGGTCCCGGAGAACCCCCTGCCATTTTGGAGACATGGTCCAGGCAGTTTGTGGGAAGCAACTTTAAGATCGTTCCCCCTGCAACTTCCACAGTCTTTAACATCATGCTTCGCCTTCCAGTGCAGCTAGAGGTGAGTATTCAGGCCTTCTCGGGCACAGCCGGCGTTTACATAGAGCCTAGATCCGATGACATTCGCAGTCCTTCTTCTCGTTTCACTGTCATTTGGCTGCCCAAGAGCTCTTGGCAGGATGTGCTCTTACTGTCCCAGACGCACCCTGCAATCTTGGGCCTTGCTCGCATGGGCGAACGATATGGGGTGCGGTGCCTCAAGACCGAAGAGGAGTCCCTTCATCGCAAGCTCAAGCCAGCTACCGCCTGGGTAGACAAAGCACGCATGCGAGTGTTCGAATCTGGGCCCTGGCCTTTCGGGACACAAAAACAGGCAATCCTGAAAGCCCTGATCTCCTTTGGGTGGCAGAACGCTAGACCCTCTCAACCCTGTCCGGGCCGCAGAGGAGGCTTGTGGTACAAGATCGAGGCCGAAGGTGAACCGCCTCGACAGTCACTCCATGCTTCCTTTGGGGAGGTGTTGTTCTGTGAGGTACTTGCAAAGCCAACACCTGTAGTTGAAGTCCCGCAAATCCTTGCCTCCCGTCGGACCCTCCAAGGCATTCAGCCCCCTCTTGCCACTCAGGCTCATCGTGCCCCAGTTGACCCTTTGCAGGTCTCTGACCCTTGGCAGGCCGCACTGGACCGTGGTGCCAACGCACAACCTTCGGGAAGCTCCGCGAGCTCTTCCGCCGACATTGCCAGGGCTGTGGAGGCCTCAGTTCTTCACAAGATTCGAGCCTCTCCTCCTGCCACAACACAGCAGGAACAGTTCGAGAATGCCATTCTTGCACGTGTGGATGCCAGGATTGCAGCTTCACATAATGACCTTGAGGCTAAGGTCTCCTCTCTTGATGGCCGACTCGGGCAACTCACTCATAAGGTGGACTCACAGGAAGGTGTTTTGCAAAGCCTTTTCGCTGCCCAGATGAGCCGCATTGAAGAGTTGCTGGGTGATACTAAACGAAGTCGTAATGAGTGACGGTGGCTATACCGCCATTTGGGCGTTCTTTATGGGTCTCAGACGGTAGGCCAGCGCGGCCTGGCTGTCAGTCAATGCAGTCTGCAGCATTGGAGTCTTTTGTGTGAGGCTTCATCCTTTCGATTTGGGGAAGCTCTCCATCCGGGGCCGGGGTTCACTTTGGGGGCCTTTAATCCCACAGGATTGGGCTCAAAACATGGGGTTGTTGCTCAACTCGAGCCAGGGATTTACGCAGTCACTGAGACACATCTCACGTCTCGAGGCATTCGAGATTTCAGCACAGGATTGAAGTTTGCAGGCGCCCCTTTCTCTTTGTTCCATGGTCAGCCTGCCCCGCCACGACAGCGAAGCTCTGTCACTGGCAGCTACACCGGCGCAGGTTTTTTGTCTTCGTTTCCAGGTCGGGTGGTTGCTTCCACATGGCCTCCGGAAGTGTACCAAACTGCACGGGTGCAGGTTGCAGCCTTCCTCTTGAATGATGTTTGGATTTTGGGGGGTGTTTGTTACGGCTTTGCCACGGATAAGGGTCGGACCTCTTCGGTCCTAGATGCGGTCATTGAAAGGGTCCTAGCTCAACCATCAGGACCACGTTTTCTAGCAGGCGATTGGAACCTTCAGATGCAAGAACTGCCGCAGGCCCGCCGCTTGATTTCCCATGGCTTCATTGAGATTCAAGATTTGCGAGCCGCTCGTTTCGGGACCCCTCCTGAATGTACCTGCAAGAACTCCACAAGGAAAGACTTTGTCTGGATATCGCCTGAATTGCAGGCTGCTTTTGTAGGAGCCAGTGTGGATCCTACGTACTGGCCGGACCATGTCCTGCTCACTGCTCAGTTTGATTTCCCACGGGCACAGCTTCATCATTTTTCCTGGCGACGCCCCACTCGCAGGCCCGGCCGGCCCAGCCTGGACAGCACGGCCCCATGCCAGGATTTCTCAGATGATCCGACTCACAGGTTTCGAGAGATATGTGCGGAGTTTGAGGTCAGGTGGTCTGCTGCCGAACAAGCCAATGGCCGCCCTCCTCTTGCCAGGGCAGAGAGAGGCAGAGGGGATTGCAACAGGCCAAGTGCAAGAAGATCTCTCTGGTCCCTCACCGGCGCTCTCGAGACGGTGACGCCGAACCCCTTTACTTTGGTTCCCATGCTCAGCATGCACACTGGTTTCGCCAGCTGAGTCGCCTGCAGGCGCTCAAGCAGTCCCTTCAAAATCCGTCTGACCGTCCCTCCGCGCTAGAGCATCGTTCGAATCTTTGGTCATCTATCCGGGCCGCTCCAGGCTTCCCAGGCGGCTTTTCAGACTGGTGGCTCACGAGAGAGAACAGGCTACAGGGTGATCCAAGCACCGTCCCACTCGCTTGTCCTGCTCAGTCGGTGGTGGAAATTCTGTTTCTGTCCTTCCAGGCCAATTTCAGGGCCTTCGAACGTTCTCTGTTGGGTCAACGGAGAGCTGCGGCTGTTGAGAGGCGACATAAGAGCCCCGCACTCATCTTTAATGACCTGCGGCTGCCCGGAAAGGCCCCAGTTGAGTCCCTGGTTGAAACATGCTCCGCTACCATAGCCGAAGTGCTTTCAGACGAAGCTGCTGTTGAAACCACGGATCCAGCAAACTGGAAGCCCGATCTCCCCTTCACTTGTGATGGTCTTCCTTTGCACGTCCTGCACTCAGAGGAAGATAAGCTTTGGGTTATGGACGCCACGCCCCTTGCCCCAGGCATGCAGGTAGAGCAGAAGCGCCTTGTGGGTTCTTTGTTGGAGATTTTTTCGGAGTTCGGTGCTGAATGGGGCAAAAGATGGATGAAGCATGAAGGGGTCGATGCACAGCAATGGCGCCATCTTGCAGAAGCTGTTGTAGCCTTCGCCCCTTTTCCGGAGCTGCGTTTGGAGCCCATTACGGCCGTCAGGTGGCGCAGGGCTCTCCTAGAAAAGTCTCCCCACTGTGCACCAGGCCCTGATAATCTCTCCCGTGAAGATTTGTTGGCTTTCCCTGCCTGCCTCACTTCTCAGCTTCTTGACTTGCTGAATGAGGCAGAGTCGTCTGGTCGTTGGCCTCAGCAACTCCTGGACGGCATCATCAGTTCCTTGGAAAAGGTGCCTGGGGCCTCTAAGGTAAGCCAGTACAGACCCATCTGTGTACTGTCACTTGTCTATAGGACGTGGGCCTCCATCCGCACCAAAGATGCCCTTTGTCACCTCGCGCAGCATGCACCCCCGGGGCTTCTGGGAAATATCCCGGGTTTCAGTGCTTCCGATGCTTGGTGCACCTTGCTTCTCCAAGTTGAGGAATCCCACCATTCCGGGACCTCCCTTTTTGGACTGTCTGCAGACTTGATTAAGGCATACAACACTCTGCCAAGATTGCCAGTAGCAGCCTTTGCAAAGGTGTGTGGAATCCCAGATGGGATTCTGACTCCATGGCTCTCCGCCTTGTGCCAATTGCGCCGCCACTTCAAGGTTCGCGGTTCGGTAGGGCCGCCAATTCTGTCCTCAACAGGATTTGCGGAGGGTGACCCTCTTAGCTGTTTGGCTATGGCGGTTGTCAACATTGCCTACCACTTCAGTTTCGCAAGCACGCCAGGCGTAGGGAGGGCCCTCTCCTATGTGGATAATTGGCACGCCATTGGCAGGACGGTGGATGAACTCCAAGCTTCGCATGCGGCAATCAATGATTTCGCCCGAGCCTGGGACTTGCCAATTGACACCGAGAAGACTGTCTTTTGGTGCACGCACACCAAGGGGCGACAAAAACTGCGTGACGCCGGTTTCCGGGTCACACTGGATTTCCGTGAGCTTGGCGCCCACTTGCGCTCCTCGAAGCGAGGCACCAATTTCACTCAGACAGATAGGATTCGGGCCTTGGAAGCGAAGTGGCCTCTCCTCCGGGACTCTTTGGCCCCTTTGGAACAAAAAATCGGAGCATTGAGCAGCGCCGCATGGCCCGCTGCCTTTCATGCAGTGAGTGCCGTCAGTGTCGGCAACTGCCACTTTGTGCGATTGCGCTCTGCAGCCATTTTTGGCTTGGGCCTCCGTGCCCCAGGAGCCAACCCTATGCTGCAGCTTTCTCTCACGGGACACCCCCTTTCGGACCCCGAATTCTTTGTCCTCCAAAGCTCCTTTCGTGATGCCAAGTTTCTGGCTGGCCCAGAAGCCCTGACCCCTCTGCTGGACCAGGCGGCCTGCGCAACGGGTCCACCACATGGGCCGGCGGCTTTGCTCCTCGCCAGGGCCAATAGTGTGGGCATCTACTGGGATGTTGCCGAGTCTGCATTCTGTGACAATTGGGGCCAGATATACCTTTGGGAAATCTCGTGGCCGGAGCTGCTGGACAGGTTGGCCAGGATGTGGCAAATTAGGGTCCAGCACCAGCTGAGCACTCGGCACACCTTCGCTGGTTTAGAATCCTGCGATCCTCTCCTCACACGCGTTGCTTTCAAGTCCTTTCCCAGGTCCACGCAAGGACTGTTGCGGGTTTCGATGAACGGCACCTTCTTCACATGCGATGCACTGTGTCACGCTGGACAGGCCGATTCTCCGAATTGCTCTTTCTGCGGTGCTTCTGATTCCATTCGGCACCGACTGCTGGAATGCCCACACTTTCAGAACGAGAGAGATGCCTGCGAGATGGACAGACATCAGCTTCTGGAGCTCGCTCCTGCTCAGCTTTTGCATTGCTGGGCACCCTCCTTTCCGGGAATGGATTCCCTCCGCATAGCTTTGGCTGCTCTTCCGTTCCACTTCCAGGATTTTCACCCTCACCCGGAGTGGAATGCGTACCACCTCTTTGTGGATGGGAGTTGCTTGCGCCTAGATGCGCCCGCACTTAGGCTGGCCTCGTGGGCAGTTACCATTGCTCCTTTGGGGGACTTCGCCCCCCCTGTTCCGGTTGCCGATGGACTTGTGCCTGGACTTTTACAGTCCGCCTACCGGGCAGAGCTGTGTGCTATGGTTTCCGCACTTCTTTTTGCCGTTCGAAAGGCTAGGAGGGTCTGGATTTGGTCAGACTGTTTGGGGGTTGTGTCTAAAGTACGCAGATGGTTGCAGGGATCTTGGCGACCTACGCAGCGAACTCGCCACTTTGACTTGTGGCGGTGCATCCTTCCCTATCTGCTTGATTTGCAGCCGTTGGTGCATGTCTGTAAGGTTACTTCCCATTTGGATCCTGCACTCGAAGCAACTGTTGGTGATGAGTGGTGCGCTTACCGCAACAACCAGGTTGATTCCGCTGCCGCCAACGCGCAACTGGCCAGAGAGTCATCTTTCTGGGAGATTTGGGAAGCTTTCTGCTCTCACTGGGATCGCGAGGTCCGCATTGCCAAGGATGTTATGGCGCTGCACGTGCGGGTCGGTCACAAAGCAGTGGTTACACGACAACCGCTTGTTTTTTCGACACCTGCTACTGAAGCCATTCCGTGTGAGTTGGCAGATTTGGGACACTTTTCGATGGAGCGCGGCCAGAAACTCCTGCGCAGGTATGGCGAGGCTGCCATCCGAAAGCTAGAGCAATGGTCTGCTCTCTTGAGAAGCCAGGAGGAGCCGGTTCGTTGGGTTTCCACAGTACAACTCTTTCTTGGGTTTGCCATGCGATTCGGCCTTCCTCAGGTACTACGTGACGGAGTTTGGGTTGACCTGTCTGACATTGTCAATGGCAGGCTCGTTCAGATTCCTATCGCAGTGCGGATTCGCTGGTTTGCTCGGCAGTTGAGGGAGTTTGCGGCAAGTTCACAGTCCAGTTGGCGCAGTAAGGAGTGCCGACCGCACTCAGTTGCCTTGCAGGTTAAGATGACGTGTTTCCCAATTCAGTGGCCTTCCGATCTGCACAGGGAAGTTGAGCAGTTTCTGACGCGGCATCTGCCCGGAGGAGTTGTTTCTGGAAACAGCAGGGCCTGGAGGCAGATGCCTCTACCGTAGAAGGCTGGCGTAGCCTACCTGGACATAGCGTGTACTCCGCAAACGCTGAGTGCTCTGCTGACATGAGAAAGGGTGAGAAAGGGTT